CAAATATTTTGTTCAGTTCGCAGCCAAAGTTTCTAGTTCATCACATGGTGGAAGCAGACATTACAAATGAACAGCTCAAACAAACATTCATCGCCGATATTTCGTTCAGTTCGAAGCAAAGGTTTCAAGTCTATTACATGGTGGAGAAACACACCATCAATGAATAATTCACACCAAGATTCTATTCAAATAGTTTCTTCAGTTTGCACTAACGATTTCGAGTTCATTACATAATGGATAAACACAAACCAAATCAATAATTCATAACAAGGTTCTATCAAAATATTTTCCTCAGTTCCAAGCAACGATTTCTAGTTCATTACATAGTAGAGGAACACATGGCAGATGTACAAATCATAGCAAGATATTATTCAAACCTTTTGTTCAGTTCGCACTAACAACTTCCAGTTCAGTGCACGGTGAAGGAACACACAATAAATGGAACGATGAAACAAACATTCATTTCGGATACTTTGCTCAGTTCGAATCAACGATTTCGAGTTCATTAGATAGTGGAGGAATACACAATAAATGAATAATTCATATCAAGATTCTATTCCAATACTTTCTTCAGTTCGCACTAACGATTTCGATTTCATTGCACGGTGTAGAAACACACAGTAAATCAATAATACCCAGGAAGATTCTATCAAAATATTTTCCTCAGTTCGAAGCAAAGATTTCGAGTTCATTACATAGCAGAGGCACACAGAATAAATGAATGATTCATACGAAGATTCTATTCAAATATTTTGCTGGGTTCGAACGAAAGATTTCAAGTTCATTATATGGTGTAGGAACACAAAACAAATCAATAAATCATAACACGATTCTGTCAAAATATTTTCCTCAGTTCGAAGCAAAGATTTCGAGTTCATCACATGGCGGAGAAGCAAACAACAAATGTATAATTTATAGCAAGATTCTATTCACATGTTTTGTACAGTTCGAAACAAAGATCTGTAGTTCAGTACATGGTGGAGAAGCTTACAGAAAATGGGAAGCTCAGACAAACATTCATTTCAGGTATTTCGTTCCGGTCGAAGGAAAGATTTCGAGTTCATTACATGGTGAAGCAATACACAATAAACGAATAATTCATATTAAGAGTCTATGCGTATATTTCGCTCAGTTCGTAGCAAGGATTTCACGTTGATTACGTGATGGAGGAGACCCAATAAATGAATAATTCATACCAAGATTCTATTCAAATATTTCGCTCAGTTCGAAGCAAAGATTTCAAGTTCATTATATAGTGGAAGAACACACCACTAATAAGCAGTTCAAACAAATAGCCATTTCAGATATACTGTTTAATTCGAAGCAAAGATTTCGAGTTCATCGCAAGACCAACATACACACAACAAATAAATAGTACATAGTACGATTGTATTCAAATATGTTCTTTAGTTCGAAGCAAAGATTTCGATTATCTTGCATGGGTGAAGAAAAGACGGTAGATGAGCAGCTCAAACAAACATTCATTTTATATATTATGCTCAGGTTGGAGTAAAAGTTTCAAGTTCATTACATGGTGGAGAAACACACCATCAATGAATAATTCCCAGGAAGATTCCATCCAAATATTTTGCTCAGTTCGAAGCAAAGATTTCGAGTTCATTACACAGGGGAGGAACGCATAACAA